ATTCTGTAGGAGTAATATCGTTGTACCTATGTTGAAAGTCTTTTTCTTTAGAGATTTATTCTAAATGGAGGTAATGGTGGATACAGTGATGTCTAGGCTTTAAATAATCTGTGTGTGGGGGCAGGGCAGGGAGGTAGGAATAGATGAAACAAGAACAAGTAAAATCTGGTTGAGAAGAGAGGTAATGAGTCTTTGTACTATTCTCTAATTTTGTGTATGTTTAACAGTTTCTACAATAAAGTTTTTAAACAGCAGTAGTTCATATAATTGAAATATATAAAGAAGAAAAAGAATAATTGACTCAAAATTCAGAACAGAGGATATATGTTTGGGAAGTGGCATTGAGTGGGGGAATTCTAAAGTACTAATAATTCACCTAGTTAGTGGGTATGCAGGTGTTTATATTATTCATATTTTAGCTCTGTGTCTTCTTTTCGTGCAGTCTTTCATATGTATGTTACATTTCACAATAAAAAGAAAAAAAGAGCTTATTGTTAGTATGTAAGGCCTCTTACAGACCCCAGTTGCAGGGGCACGCTTGGACCTCATGGGCTTACAAAGTGGCCAGGTAGCCTCTCTGAGTCTGTTTCCCTGTTGGACCCACTGGTCCCTTTGTTTCTCTTTCCTTTTGCTTGAATGCGTCATTGTCCTCTGTTCGAAAATTATCTTCTCTGCTGAGTTATCTGGTTTGAATGGCCTGTGAAGGCTTCTCCCAAATGGTAGGCTTAGTTCCTGACCTGACTAAGCTTTTCACAGTATGTTTTGGTCTCCAGTGCCAACTCCAGATTTTAGAGAAGAGAACTGGACTGGCTTTTGGGCAGATGCTCACCCAAAACCAACAAGCTAGGGCTGGCATAGTGTACCTTGGTCTGAGGAACTGCCACCTCCAAGGCTATGGACGGGAAGTTCTTAAGAAAGGGTTGTAGATACCTCTAATACAGTATCATTGTCTTTAATAGTGAAAGACATAGCATCTTTGTCTAAAACAATGAAAGATTTGAGGCAATCACTAGCTCTATCAATAAAAGATTGGGGATTGGTTAAAGAAAGAATGGGATAACCTATTGAAATAATGTGCAGCCATTTAAAATTACAATATTGTCCTATTTTTATTGACCCTAAAAATGTTCATGAAAAATGTTTATTTACATTTGGTGTATGTTCTTTCAGAAACACACACGTACATGTACATATATAAAAATATATACCTATGTGTATGTATATGTGTATAAATATATTTCTGAAAGGATATACATCAAAATGTTAACAGTGGTTATTTTAAGTGTTAGTAGGGTTATGGTTAGTTAATTTCTTGTTTTGCTTATCTGTATTCCTGATTTTTCTACAGTGAATAAT